CAGCAGGTGCTCAGTGACAGCTTGGGGAATGAATGAAGCCACCTCTGCTGGGCATTCACTATGGCAGGTGCTGTGGATTATCTCATTTAAGCCTCGCAATATCTGTTTTACAAACAGCAACGGAGGCACAGAGAGGTCAAGCCATTTGCCTGAGGTCACACAGCGCAGCGATCTCGGGTAGGGACTTGGACGCAGCTCACCCAGCACATCAAAAGTATTCAACAGACCCGGCTGCCTTTCTGCACCTTCTCACCCTCCACGAACAGAAGCTACTTGGCCCTGACACGTGCCCTCTCGTCATATCCCGCCAGCTCCTCAACTGTCAGGCCTCGGGCTCACGCCTCTATCACCACCGCCCCATCAACGTACCCTTTAGAGCATCTGTGGACACCCCCTAGCCCAGGCTCTGAGGTGCCAGGAGGGCTCTCACAGGCCGACCCTGGGCCCCGGCGGCCAAGGCCGGCCCTCAGCCAGCCGGACCTCCCTCCATGGCTGCTGCACCAGCAAGCTGACCGTGGGCTGACTCAGTCTTGTTAACCAGGCCCAGCACCCCAGAAGCCCCAACTCACCGCGTGGCCTGACCTCAAGCCACCAGTTCCTTCACAGTAGAGGCCAGAGCCTCCAGGGCCACCTGCCAACAGGGCTCAGAACCTGGCCCATCCCCCCCCCCCTCCTCTCAGAAGGTCCCCGTTGCTTCCAGAGGCACCCCGAGGGCTCCAGGCCTGGTCTTGACTGCCTGGGGCCGGGGTCTCCACCGTGGCTGCTGCCGGAGCTGGAAGGAATGCCCTTTGAACTGTCTACATTAGGGTATGACATATAATACATGAACGTACAGAATGATCAAATTTTTAACGGGTGAGTGATCAAAATGTTTGGAGGCCAAAGATTTAGGAAAGACTTAGTGCCCTGAACTGGTTTCCTGTCACCGCTGTGACAAGCTAGCACAAACTCAGTGATTAGAAACCACACAGATTTAGGGGCACCTGGGTGGCTCAGTCGGTTGGGCGTCCGACTTCAGCTCAGGTCACGATCTCGCAGTCCGTGAGTTCGAGCCCCGCGTCGGGCTCTGGGCTGATGGCTCAGAGCCTGGAGCCTGCTTCCGATTCTGTGTCTCCCTCTCTCTCTCTGCCTCTCCTCCGTTCATGCTCTGTCTCTCTCTGTCTCAAAAATAAACTTAAAAAAAAAAACACACACAGATTTATTATCTTGTATTTCTGAAGGCTCTGGGGGAAAAGCCATTTCCTTACCTTTTTTCTCCTTTCTAGAAGCTACCTGCGTTCCTTGGCTTCGTGATCCCCTCCTTCCACTGTCACGACTCCTCACTCTGGCCCTCCCGCTTCCCTCACATCGCTCCGCCCACCCACCCGCCCGCCCGCCTTATAAGGACCCTTGTGATTACATCATTGGACCCACCTGGGTGATACAGGGCACTCACCCATCTCAATACCCGTAACCTCATCACACCTGTGATGCCCTTGTTGCCACATGAAGGAGCCCGTCCCCAGGTTCTGGAGATTTGGTGTGGACATCTTCAGGGGGCTGCTACTCAGCCCAGCACCCGCATGCCCCTTCTCGGCTGTTCAGCTAAGGAAACGGGGAAGGCCCTGCATCTGGGCTCCCGCCCCTCTTGGCTCACAGTTGTTGGCTAACCTCGCGGAGACCCCGAACTCAGACCCCTGCCACCCCTCATTTGACACCGGCCCTCATACAACATCGCGTAAAGGACCCTCAGATCTTCATCTCTGGCCCTGACCTCTCTCTGAAGCTCCGGCTTCAAACGGCCACCAGCCACCAGGTTGTTTGGCCGGCATCCCCCGATGACCGAGCCCTAAGAGTTCTCTCGCTCCACACCTGCCTCCCCTCCAGGGGGCTCCAGCTCCCCAAAAGGCCCAGAGCTCACATCAAACCCAGGACCCCTCTCTTCCCCGTCGGCTCTGCTTCTGGGTCCCTCCCGAGCTGCCACTATCCGCCCTGTTGACCTCCTAGCTTCTGCTCCGGCCCCCCTTCCCGACCAACCTCCGCAGGAGCCAGCACAGGCTGCTTAACATGAAATCAGGCCGAGGGCACAGCTTCCCTCCCTCAGTTCCCTCCAGGGGCTTCCCTCACTTCGGAAGAGACTCAACCCTCCCGGGTCCTACAACATCCGGCCTCACTGACCTTATTCTCCCAGGTGGTCTCATCCGGCCTGGCTTCCTCCAACCCCGTGTCCTTTGCGTGGACCGAGACTCATCCAAGTCAACCACCTTTTTCCTTGTCGGAAATACGCTACGGTTCTCGCTCCCTCTCCCACCGGCAGAATAAAACCCAGATCCCGCAGCATAACCTGTGAAGCCTTTCTCAGTATGTTCTGACTCGACCTGCATGTCTAGACTCCTCTCTCTTCCTTCCTCTCAGCTCCCTGCATCCACACAGACCTTTCCCAGAATATTCCATTCTTAGCCAAGTTTCCAGGCCTTTAAGCAAGCTGTCCCACCCTGCCTGGAATGTACTCTTCCTCAAATCCTTCCTGAACACTCCTGTATATGCTTCAAAACCCCATGCAAAAGACCCCCTTGTGAAGCCTTCCCTGATATCCCCTGCACCCTCCGAGTGCACCAGCTTCCTGCCGTGCTCCCAAAGCCCTTGGTCAGGCCTCTTAGGCCATGACCAGTAGCTCAGGAATTGCTTGTGTCTTGACCCCTGTCTTGACCAACAGGCAGTGAGTTCCTACGAGAGGTCAGGGCCCCTAATCTGACTCATCTCTGTCCATCACGGGGCCTGACTAGGGTGCCTGCCGGGGGCTTATTTGACAAATAAAAGAACAAAGCATCGAAGGGCCCTGTGGTTTTCCTGTTCGCCTCGGACCCTCACTCATTTATTCACCAAATGTTAAATGCGTTTTGCGTGAGCCCCCACTACCTATGGCCCCTGCCAGCGGCAGCCTCAGGCCTGGACTTCATCCGGGCCCCTGCCTTCCTAAGGGGCCCTGGGACCCTTCCTCAAGCTTAGCCCAGTGACGTTGAAACGGGAGAGGGAAGCAGACGCTTTATTTCCCAAGGGCATTCCTCTGCTCCCCACACATCCAGCACCATTCACACCACGTGGAAACATCACCACCACACAGCCCACATAGCACGGTGCATGGCTAACAGTAGGTGCTCAATAAATGCTGGGTAAGCAAAAGAGAACAGACCCTGCACAGCCCTCCCCCACCCCGTGATTCCCAGGCAGGCATCCTATTCGGTGCGTTAACCACTTTACCCCTCTCCGAGGCACCCAAGCCTTCCCCATCACGGGGTGAAAGGTTGGTGCTTTTTGACCCCGTTGCCCTCCTACTTCCGGTCTTGGGAATCCAGTCAGGGGGAAAGTGGAGTCAGGGGCCTCCCCGTGTAGCACAAGGCCCAAAAGTTCAGGGCCCAGCCCCCACCCTCCCTGCCCTGTCAGCTTCCCAATGGCGGCCAGAAGGCATGCCAGCCTCCAGCTCCAGGGTGGCGTTTTAAACCCATCATTACCCCTGCCCCTGCCACTCCCTAGTGGGCGATACAGAAGCATCTGGCCCCTTCCAGGCGCAGGCGGGCCAGGGCAACCCTTGGGCACCGGGTAGAAGCAGGAAGTGGATGCTTCTAGATGCCCCAGAGGCCCTCCACCACGCCCAGCAGCAGGCTGGTTTGTCAGGACAGCCCCGCCTTAGGTGACCTGGCTGCCCACGCCAGACGCAGAATGTGCCAGGCCATGACCAGGCTTTGACCCGTGCCCCGGCCCAGCAGCATCCTGAAGGGGTGACCATTTCCCTGAGCAGACATGGGAGGAAGGGAAGGAGGCCAAGAAGAACCAGACATCTGTGTACGTTCACTTCCAGGACTCTTGTCACAGAAACCGACAGCTAGTTAGCTGGGCCAAGCTCTCCACACGCGGCGACTGGCAGGGTCCTCGGGGCGGCCCATTGTACAGATGTGCAAAACAGTGCTGGGCGTGGGGGTGGGGAGAGGGGTGGAAAGACCAATCAAAGCCTCCTGGCTTTCCAAGGGGCGGAGGTGGCATCTGAACTCAGGGCTGTGTGACCCCAAGCCACCTAAGAGCCCTTACGCTCTACAGGCTCCCTGGAGCAGGGGGCCCAAGACGGAAGGGGTTTCCGGCAGTCAGACACCTAGTCTCCCTTGCAGACTGTCTGACCCCTCACCGCCCCCACCCGCGACCGGGAAGGTGGACTAATGTAACACAAAGAGCACTGGACTGGGAGTCCAGAGGCTTGGGTTCAAGTCGCAGGTCTTCGACAATCAGTCCCAGCCCCCCTTCCTTCTCTGGGCCTCAGTCTCCCCACCTACCCAAGTTCCAGGTTTGGCCTGGCTCAGAGTGTCTCTGGGGCCATTTCTGCTCCAACAGTACTCTGCATCGGGGGTTCCTCCAGTCTTTCCTTTGCCTGGACCCCTAATTCACATGCCTCACAACTTGAGGCAACCTCTCCATGTGGGTCCTAACTGCAAACACCACCTGTTGATCCGTGGGATGCGGAGGATGTCCAGCGACCAGCTGCTCCGGCAGCACCTAGGTCACTTGTGGGGCTTGGAGGGGGAGGTCTCCGATGGCAGAGACCTTGGGTGAGGGGGGCCGTGAGCTGCCCACCGAGGGGCTACTTAACAAAGGGGGCGACCCTTAGCCCTGGAGCCTCCCAGTTCCTGGCTCCCGTGGAGGACGCCAACTTTGCGCCCTCAGGCTGCACCCGCGGGGACACCGGGGACGTGAGAGCCGGGGACTGGGGGCCCTTGAGGCCGGGCTGGGTCCCCTTCCCTGGGCACGCACGGGGGACGGCGAGGCCCTTGCCGGGCCCTGCAAGGCCTTTCCAAGAAAGACGGGGGCCCCCAACATCCATCCCGACACTATTCCCAGAGGTCCGAACACTGCGGGACCCGCGCTGGGGGCCGAATCTGGCGCTGGTCCCCGGTCCCGCGAGCGCACCTGCGCCCGGGCGGCGAGCCTGCCTACCGCGTCCCGCTTCCCCTCCCCCCGCCACGATCACTGACCATAGCGACCGGAGCCGTCGGGACAGGTCCCGCCCCAGCGAGGAGCGATCCGGTGCGGGAGGGCGCCGCAGGAACCACTGGCGGGCTCCGCCAGTTGGTCGAGGCGGGGGCCTCGAGGGCGTGGGGGCGAACGGAGAATACACCCGACCGCTCCGCAAACCACAGGTTAGACCCTCACTGTGTCCCAGCAAGACACACGCTCCGTTATTGACGTCTGAGACGGGCAATCAGAAGTCGGAGCACAGGACGTCACAGAAAGTGGGTGGGACTTCACTCGCCTTTCGCCTATGCTTTAAGGTCCCTTTGACAGGGAACCGCCCCCTTTTAAAGACATCGAAGGCTTTTAACTCGCAAAGGAGTTCGCCCAACCCAGAAAGACAGGTTTTAGTTTGTAAAGGCTGAAGGGCTTTTGACCAAAACTGCAAATTGACGTCTTCTGAAAGATTAGTTGGCTCTCATTAATTCCTAAAGAAGGCCACCTAAGTATAGTTTGCTCAAGATCAGAGGACAGGTGCTTAGGGAACACGTGCCCAATAACATTAAGTTACCTGCCTGCCCTTGTGTAGCTTCTAAATAATATTTTACCCACTCCCAACTCATGAATCAGTAGGTTACCAGGCACTCAATTAATGGTTGTTGAATGAATGAATTTCCAGGATCGTTGATTCTGTGCCTCTAGAATTGCATGGCTCTATATGTATATGGCATAGACGTGAATCAGGTTTGGTGACTCAGCCTGTATACAAGCTCGTTATTACTGAACATCAAACACAGGAATATGTATCATTCAAAGATTCATTCACCAGCCCTCCACCCCTAGAGGAGATGCTGAGGGTGGGGGAGGGAGGGTTTCCAGGGAAGGGGGGTCCAGTGTATTGCATGTGCCCATTTTACAGGTGTTAATATTTCCAAGAGTGTATTAAGCCATCCCCATTCCCACGCTCACTCTCCTGCCCCAGGCACCAGGCTCGGCTATTGGATAAACATCTGTGTCTTGCAAGTGAGTATCATTTAGTAGGTGGGGAATTTGGAGTTTAATCATGGCTCAAGGAGCAGTAACAGCAGAGGCTAATTTTTATTGAGCACTTACTGTATACTGGGCACTGTCCTCAACTCAACCCATATTATCCTACTTAATTTCCTCACAACTAGTGTATGGGGAAAGATCCTATTACTGTCATCTCTATGATCCCTGTTTTCCACATGAGGAAACTGAGGCACGGGGACAGTAAGGTACTTGCCCAAATCCACTCAGCACACAGTGGGATTCAGTCCCAGGCAGCCTGACTCTGGAGCTGGTTTTGAATTCATTCTGTTGAGGAACCATGCATGTGGTCGTGGGGATGTGCACTCCCACACCCCTATTTGCTTTTGGTCTTTGTTTTTTATGGCTCAGGGAGTCGGAGAGGTAACAGAAGCGCCCAGGGAGTCGGAGAGGTAACAGAAGCGCCCAGTACCGCTCAGCTACAAAGTGGCCCAGCAAGACTGGATTCCCCAGACTTTTGACTCCTCATCCAGTGCTCGCTCCAAGCTCTGTCAGGCTTCACTCAGGGCAGGAATCACCGAGCCAGGCGTGCTTCCACGGGGAGCAGGTGAGGAGTCTTTGCTGAGGAAGGGAGGGAAGGGCCCGCGGGGCATTGTCTGGGTCCCTGTGTCAGGCTTAGCCCTGGTCAAATTCGACAGCTGAGGCATTTAGGGCCTCAAGGAGGAGGATCCCGAGTGAGCTGAGGCTTCTAGGAGCTCTTGGCCCACCTTCTGCCTCTCTCCAGGCCATGGAAGGTCCAAACCAAGCTGGCACCCACGTATGAAAGGAGCATCTGGAGCTCACAAGGAACGCTGGGCCCCAGACTGTCTCTAGACTCCACCATTCACTGCTGTGTGGCCTTAGATGACTTCCAGGCCCTCTCTGGGCCTCTGATTCCTCACTTACTGAGAGCGCCGGACAATCTGAGTAGTACAGAAAAACAAACAAACAGACAGATCCTTAAAAAATATTTTTAGTATTGAGCCTTTTAAACAACAACAACAAAATCTCACCCAGCATCTCAGTACATGTGTAATGGATTCTTTGCTTAACAGCAGCTGGAAGGATCGGGGGAAACAATGTAATCTCCTTAGTCCTAACTAATCAAGCCTGCTTCCTGAGCTCTCTAAGGGCCACTTGGAAGACATCAAGAGTCCAGCTGGTTTTCGGGCCGGGTCTGAGTGGAAAATGTGAACCGTCCTTTTGGGGCCTGCCCACGTGACTCCCAGTTTGGCCTTCCTCAGGCCGCTCAGGCCCAGAGAGTGCTCCAGGCTGGGCCCCCCCAGCTTCGCTATGTACAGTATGGCCCCGGCACACCTTTCTCAGCCCCTTGCTTCCTGTTTTGCCCACTTCCTCAAGACGTGAGCTTAAGAGGATGGCTTTCGGTGCCCAGAACCTTCCCTGTGCTGCTCTCGCACCTCTCCGCCTTCGCTCCTCCTGGAGGTCCGTTTCCCAGGCTCCGTGTGAAGTCCTCCCAGACTGCTGGGCTGGGCATGAATTCCTCTGAGTTTCCACCACGCTGTGCCTGTCCTTCTGTGGTGCTCATGCCTCATGGCTGTGACTTGGCGGGGGTGGTAGGACATGGTCATTACAAGTGTGGGCAGTGGCATGAATATTCGTGTCATAAAAAAAAAAAAATGGAAAAATCCGGCGGTGGGGGCGTGCCTGGGTGGCTCGGTCGATTAAGCGTCTGACTCTCGATTTTGGTTCAGGTCATGATCTCACAGTTGCGCGTCCGAGTTCCTCATGGCGCTCTGCACTACCAGCGTGGAGCCGGCTTGGGGGGGGTGTCCTCTCTCTCTCTCTCTCTCTCTGCCCCTCCCCCCCAAAAATAAATAAACTTAAAAAAAATATTCGTGTCCTGATTCCCATGTAATAGCTCTTGAGCAAGCCACACCTCCCTGGGCCTCAGTTTCCTTGTCCGTAAAGTGGGGATATTTGTACCTGATCTCAAAGGTCAGTCGGGAAGACTAAATGAGATGGCCATGAAAAGCACTTGACACTCTGCTTGGTCCCCAAACTTTGTGGGCTTTGCATGGTAGTTACTGGGGCCTGAGTCTCGTCCGTCCTTGAAGCCTACGGGGGGACAAGGTAAGAGCTTGCGTTTGGCGGGGAGGAGCCCCAAGGGGGTTTGTGTCTGCGCACCTGAGAGGGGTGTGTCTGCCGTCTCCCTGATCAGTGAGACAAACTTGGGGCTCGGGTGGCGGGAGATGTGGTAGTGTAGGCCCATCTTCCTGGCACCCTTTCCCTGCCCTGTAAACCACAGGCCTGGCGCGGCAGGGGGATCTGGGCTTAAAGTGCTTGCCCTTCCACGCAGGAGGTCCGCGCTATCCTCGCCGCCCCCGCCCCGTCGTGCACAGCCTGCTGGGATACCAACCTGTGTGTTGTTTCCCTGCTGGGGAAGATCAGGAGGAACCAGAGCCAGTTAGCCCCCTTCCCCTCCCCCAAGCCGCCCTCCTGGAGGCCGCGGGCTGCCCTGGCGGCCTATCGACCCCCCGGGAGCAGGGTTGAGAAAGAGGCTTTCATTCTTGCGAAAAGGTATTTCCAGGAAAAACGGTGGAAGTGGGAAGACTGGAGAATGGAGAGGCAGGTCTGGCTGAATAGGGAGAACATTCTGGAATCTGGGAAGGGGTGGAGGCGGGTGGCCCAGAGCAGGGGCACTGCTCCCTCTCACGTCGCCCAAGGGAACACAGGACCCTGACCTGGCTGGCGGAGATCCCTCGGTCCCTCCCGCCAAGGTGCCGTGTACGTTAGGTGCAGCTACAGGAAGGCCCTTCTTTCAACACTGGGCACAGATCTACCGCACATCCCACGGGCAGATGCGTGCCGGGCACGGACCATGCACATCTGTGCACAAAACTGACAAAAATCGCTGCCCTCACTCAGCTTCCATTTTCATGGGGACGTCACCGCCGGTTCCTCTGCGGTGGGTGACCCAGGACCACACAGCCCCCACAGGGCTGGACAGAGGATGGGGAGGGACCCCCACAAATGTTTGAGATTCAATTTTCCACCAGCCCCGGGAGCTGGGACACACAGAGTTAACTTTAGTGCAGGGCCAACAAAAAGGAATGTGGTCTTTCTGGAAGAACCCTCAGAGAGGGCTCCAGGGAGCCAGTCCCACGACAGGCTTTCCAAAGGTGAGACAAGGAAATCGGGGAGAGAAATCATGTTATAAGGTTAGGTTACACCATGTCTCTGGCTCACTTTTCAGATGAAACATGACCTACAGCCCCAGGAGAGGACCAGATAGGCCAGTTTTCCAGCCTATTGCCCACCTGCGCCCCCCCCCCCCCCCCCCAACGCCTGGAGTTTGAAAGCTAACATAGGAAGTGTTGTATCCCGGCAGCCTCCTGGGCTGGGCTGGAGGCACTCTCTGGCTTCCAAGGGAGGAGAGAGCACTGGGTGTGGTTTACAGAAGGCTGCAGCCAGTGCTGGGTGGGGGGGCCTGGGCTTGGTGAGAGCTGCCAGTCCCAAGCCCTGTCCTGGCCATCCTGAGACGGGGCAGAGAGCCCAGCTCCTGAGGGGCCCTGGTTATGAGACCCGGGGCAGGGTGCGTGACCTCTGTGACAGGCAGCCTCTAATGGCCCCCAACAACCTGCCTCCTGTGCTCTCACCCTGCGTGACCCTCTCCCCTCCAGCGTGGGCTGGACTCAGTGACTGGCTTGTGAGGAAGACGACAACAAAAGTGACCGAATGTCACCTCTGGGATCAGGATACCCACAGACTGGCCTCTGTCTTGCTTGCTCCCCTGGTGAGCTGCCCTGTGGAAAGATCCACAGGGAAGGCGCTGAGGGAGACCCTCAGCCGACAGCCAGCGAGGAGCTGAGGCCCCCAGTCCCACAGCCCGTGGGGAGCTGCCTCTGCCAGCCGGCCGTGCATGAGCCTGGATGCTGACTGTCCCCCGGTCGGGCCTTCAGGTGAAACCCCAGGCTGGACTGAAGCCTCGCAGTGAGACCCTGAGCCAGAGGACCCAGCCCTGCCCAGATGCCCGACCCCAGGAATAATGAGATGGATGTTCGTTATTTTTCAGCTAAGTTTTGGGGTGACTTGTTACACAGCATCAGATGACTGATACAGCCTCTCTTGCTCTCAGCCACAGTCTGCTCCTCTATGAAACGGGGTTAATGAAACTTGTAACTCTGGGTTAACTGTGGGGGTGACCCCCCATCACCTCCTCACGC